CTCCCCACTCTGTCTATGGTGAATTTTCTCACACCCCCCACACCTCTGACCTGTACCCCAGTTCTTGTACGCCTAAATAAGTAAATCTTTCCCAAAAACAAAAAACAAAACAAAACAAAACAAAAAAACCCACAAAAACAAAAACAATGTTTTCTCTTGTGATTGTGTTCAGGGGCCTTTATTCCTAATGATGACATTCATTCAACAAAGATCGATTTAAGACAACATTTGAAAACGTAACTAAGGCCATTCACCAATGGCTCAATCTTTGATTCCACACAAAGTAAACAACAAATGATTATTCTCCAATCACATCTATTTTTTCCCTCTAGTCCCAGAACTGTCCTGACATTTTCTAACTACATTTTCTTCTTTCAAAGAAGCTTTTCCCTGGAATTCACCAGTTTTCCAATTACCTTCAACAAATACAAGGAAAGATGACTATCCTGTTATCCTTTACTATTTGGATAAGAGTAATATTTAAATGAAATACCCACCTTCAAAGAAAACCCAACTTTGCTAGAAGTGGGAAAATAGTTGGGAAAACCCACATGTCGTAAGCACACATACAATAATCAGGAAGAGCCCCTATCCCCCATCAGGTGTGGCAGCCAAATGTTTGGTGGAACCTTCTAGCAGAGGTCAAATGTCACACATAGAAGAAAAGATGCCAATTGAATGTAATCAGGAGGGGAAAAATCTGAATTTTAATGAATCTCCAAAGTAGTGCCTCCAATCCATTGGAAGCCTAATCAAAACTAAATATATCTCCCACCTTTAGGAAAACATAATGATTAAAACACTCAATTATGTATCTTTCTCTCCTTCCATGAGAAGTCTGGATGTATTCAGTTCAGGATGGGGGTAGGAGACAAGCATGAGGAATTTGTTTTTTTAAGATTTTGTTATTTATTTTACACAAAAGCTGGGGTACAGGCCAGAGTAACAGGAGGGTGAGAGGATTCACCAAAGACAGAGCGGGGAGCACTACAGGCAGATGAGCAAAATACACTGCTGAGGGGAGCAGCAGGTGAGACAGGAGAGGTCTGCTGTGCCATGCGGGAATCTCTCCGGCTGGCCGGGAATCAAACCCGTGCTGCAGAAGCTACGGATAGCTTCACAGCACTGCGCTCAACCCACTGCACCACTGGGAAGGCCCCAAATGTGAGGAATTAGATCCAAACTTACAAAGACATGATCCAGTCAAATAAAAACCATGTGTATACCTGATACAAAATGAATTTAATGATTTTTCTTTCTTTAGATAAGGCCACACTTAAGAGATCCATTTTTATTAGATTATTACCTTACATAACTATGTGTTTTATTTTCAGGACAAGAACAGAAATATGGGAAGTCTAGGGACGAGCCCTCCCCCCACCATTGTCCTGAGTAATAGAGCTATTTATCTAATTTATATCACGGCCAATGTGACTCTAAAGAACTGCTACCAATTCGCCCGTGATGCACAGTGCCTGAAAGTAACATTAGCAGCTCATGTGTCCAGCCATCCTACTGGGAGCAAATGTAGCACTGGGGGTGAGGTATATGCTCGCTCACTGAATATTCTTTCAAGTGACCATATGGGTTCAGAACTCTACACCCATTTTATTCATGAGGAAACTAAGACTCAGAAAGGCAAGGAACGTGTCCAAATTAATAAAGATAGTGACGAAGCTAAAATTCAATCCCATTTTTTTTTTCTCATTAGAAAGGTTCGATCTCTTGTCTCCCAAAGGTCCCCCTCAGAGCCAATCTAGTAAAGGAATCTGCGAGAGAAAGTGAACTATTGAGCTGCAGTGTTCCTTCTCTGCCCACTCAAGACAGGTATGGAGCAGCTGCTCTGAGTCTCAGGAGGCTGCAGATCTCCTGAATCTTTGGAAAACCATTTTTTTAAAGATTTATTTATTTATTTATGCAAGAACTGGGGTACAGGCCAGATGCGCAGAAGGGTGAGAGGATTCACCAGAGACAGAGCTGGGAACAGAACAGGCAGACTGAGGAAATACTCTGCTGAGGGGAGCAGCAGGTAAGACAGGAGAGGTCTGCTGCGCCTTGTGGGACCCTCAATGGCCAGCCGGAATTGAACCAGCGCTGCAGAGGCTGCACTCAACCACCTGAGCCACCAGGGGAGGCCCGAATCTTTGGAAAACTTAACAGGTTTTTATAAATTTTAAAAATATTGGCCGCCATTTCTTTAATATCTCCCCCCCACCCCCTTGTATGGGCAAATACAACATATTCAAAGACTGGATCAGGCTTGTTGGGTCACTAGTTTATGGTATCTGCCCAACTCCACACTGACTCCCTTTTATTATATATACTAAGAAGTCACAAATGTGCCCACAGGGACTTTATTAATTTCTATTAGGCCTCCACATACTTTGCCAATCAAAGGTTTCTTGAAAACTACAAACAATCAGGCCTCCCTGGTGGCACAAGGAGTTAAGACACAAACTATGAAGTTGTCCACAGCCTCTGCAGCACGAGTTCAATCCCCGGCCAGCCAGGGAGCTACCCACATGATGCAGCAGGCCTCTCCTGGCTAGCCCGCTGATCCCCTCAACACTGTACTTCAGCCAATCTGCCTGTTCTGTTCCCCACTCTGTCTCTAGTGAATCTTCTCACCCCCCCACATCTCTGGCCAGTATCCTAGCTCTTGTATGCATAAATAATAAATCTTTAAAAAAAAAAAAACTGCAAACAATCTCAGAATGAGGAAAGGCACAAGTTTAACAACAGAAACCACTATCTTATCACACTGTGTCTGCAAATCAACGATACTGAGCCATCCTGGTCACTAAGAAGGCAAGTGCAACCTGCATTCCCTGGGTTCAATTAGTCCTTTCTTTGCCAGATCTACAAATTAGTGACAATTTCAGAAAGGTAGATCACAAGGGCAAAAAGCACCTGCAGGACCCACTATCCCCATCACCTTTCTTGTTCCTTTTTCCCCTTCAAGTTTGATGATTTGGCAGTTCTGGAACTCTTCCGAGAGGAGGAGAGACTCACTCTGCCAGCCCCAGCTGTTCAAAGTTCAGCCCAATCTGTTCCATACAGTTGGCTGTATTATAACAATAATGTGGCTACAGTTCACCTTCATTTGCTGCAAAGATCATTAACTATCCCTCAGAGAGATGAAGTATTAAAGAAAGAGACTGCCTGAGGCATAATAAATGGAAGTCTCTTGGAAACCTAGTTTGAAAAAGGTACAATGATACCAGCAAGACCAGCTGACACTTTCTAGTGTCAGAGGAAAGGAAAGAAAACAAGGGCAACAGAGGCATAAAATCAGAATGAGAAAAAAAGGAAAAGCAACATGCCTGCCAAACATGTATGTACATGTGAAGAGAAAATAGAGAAAAAAATTAAAATCCTCTGAAATAAAGACAACAGAGCATTAATGTTAAATCACAGTAGAGACAGGATTCTACTTGTCTAGCAACTCAAATATTCTACCACATAAAAGTAAATTTGGAAGGAAAATGAGAACAGCAAGAATGAATTGTAATCTCTAAAGAAAAATGCAGTATTCTAGACAATTTTCAATACTGTGATAGATGGTGAATTCAGCGAAACCTGTATTTAAATCCTGTTTCTGATCTCCCATTCATGTGACTGAATTCCAATGTCAAGTGGATGTGTTTCTTCACTCAGCTCATGAATTCAGTTCCTAAATACACAAACCGTATTTGAATCGTGTTCTCCAACCACTGTAACCTTCTGAGAAAAGAAACAAAAAAACCAAAAAAACAAACAAACAAAAAAAAAAAACAAAAAACAGCGCTATGAAACACCCAATGATCTGAGTGTCCCTTTTAATGGGCATTTGGCAAGCTGTTTTATAAGTACCTGGAAGTCCTTCAGGTGATAATGATAGCATCAAAATCAAAACTTGTTCTAAGTGAGCTACAGTTATATTAATCTAAACCAAAATCCAGTCAGTAATGGATCATCGGTGGCCAAGTGGGAATACTACTGGCAGAACCCACCTCCTAAGAGTTTAGTTTCCTTGGAGCCACAGAGGTAACAAATTTATAAAGTGCCAGTAATAGTGCCACATTCTATATCTTTGTTCTTCTTCATCTTCTTTTGCCAGTTTAATCTATCCCCAGAACAGTGGTTCTCAACTGAGAGCAATTCTGTCCTCGAGGGTCCATTTTTGGTTGGGAGAAGGGGGTGTCGCTGGCATTGAGTGGGTAGGGACAGACAGCCTCCTACAATACAGATTATCCAGCTCAAAATGTCATGGTGCAGAAATTGAGAAACCCTACCTGAAGAGTTGTTTCCAGGTTTAAATTTGCTCTGTTGACATTCTATATGGTTTACAGGTGTACAGCAGGACTTTCTAAATAATATCCTGCTATCATTAAAATAGCTTCTCTCCACATAGTGGTGACATTTAACATAAATGAAAAGGAAGGCAAGGGGTAGAATTTTAAAACTCATTTAGAATTACAATGGAACTCTGGAAATCTTATTATAGCGCCAAACTGTATAAAGTGCCAACCAGTGATTTCATATATGTTATATATTTATATTTTATATATATGTACATATATATAGTACAATCCAATTCAATTTGCCTAGTAGGTAGTTTCAAAACATATGGACCCCAAAACAGCAAAAAGTGAGATTTATATGCATAAAGAGGAAAAGCAGTCTCAGCCACCTCATGCAGGAAGAGACACACACACCCCAAAATCAGAAGATTCTATGTTAAAGCTCTTGTATTAACTTTCAACAAAAGAACCCCACACCTGAGGGCACAATCCCCCAATCACACCTGGAGACTCATTACCATCTCTGATGCATCCATCTGTCCTCAGCTGAAGAACCCAGTGGAGTCATCCTAACATTTATAGTGCTTGGTAAAAAAATAATTTGCTGTGAGGTAATTTAGTGTAAGCTCAGGTCATGTCCTGATCTTGCCAAATAAACAGAACTGCCAAGGATCCTTTCCTGTTGCTTTAGCCTTCAGACAGATGTGGTTGCTCACCTGGTTGGCTCCCTCCTTCCCAGTGATCCTCACTCATTTCCTTGAGGTGTTGTGTGTGTGTGTGGCAGGCTACAGGAAGGTCTGGCATGCTTGGACTCTCCGGCTTTTCTGGATGCCTCTTGGCAGTCACACTTGGACTCAACAGATCTTGGGAAGAGAAAAAGGCCAAAAGGAGGTGCCGTCTTTCACATGGATAGAGCTGTGACTTCCCAGCCCAAGAAGAGCGTGTCCTGCCCTGCCAGGATGGGGAAATTGCCTTTGAAGTAAAGCCCAGGTCTCCCCAGTACAGATCATCCACCAGTTATTCTTCCGGTGCAGATTTCCACCCGACATAACAGAGACACAATGACGAATTCATTCACCGACTATTCAATGCTCACCAAACAGAAGGAATCAAGAAGAGGAGTGATGGACTGGGGAAAGGCATATGCCCGCAGAACAGGAGGGAACATTCCAGAGGAACTTTGACATGAACTGACTCTTTTTGGGCTAAATGTTCCCGTTTCTGTGACTGAGACATAAGAATATGAATTTGCTAACTTAATTTGTGAAATTGTCCCCATGTCATTGAAAGGAAAATCCTGGATCTAGTTTTGTTACTTCCTCAACAACCCCAGATCTACCCTCCCAGCAAAACTGCTTTTATAAATCACCATTGGCAGGATTTCTCGCCAGAGTGATGGAGGTAACAGCAGGTTATTAATCTCTGGTTTTAAAAGGGAGAAAAATTAGGGGCAGAGAGGATCATGTCTACTATAACCAGGTCAATTAAGGAAACCTTTATGAGCCAATATACTTATACCCACTGGAATGTATTAAAAAACCAAAATCCTGTCTAGTTTAATCCCAGAAGGAAAACATGCAGAGAACAGCAAGATTCAGCAATGGGCACTGAAAGTAATTTCAAGTCTGGGCAGAATTCTAGAAATTACTAAATCAGCCAATGATGCCATGCTGAAGAGAACTCTTAACCTATATGTAATTATGTTAAAGCGCCTACAGAGTTTGTGCCACAAAATGTTCTCCTCTGATCAGAGGAGTTTAGGATAAGAATTAACAATGTACAGATTGGGCTATGAGATGACCAAGAAGAATGGGGGGCATGGGAAATAGGACTGATAAAAACCTTATTAACAGCATAGCCATTCATTTTGTCACACGGTAGATTGTTCATGTCCATATTTTAACCCCTGAAAATACATTCACTTATTACCCAATACTACTTTGCTTATTTATTGAATTATAACAATATAAATCACAAAATGAATAAGACAATGTGGAGGGTTTAATTGCTTGCCAAGAATGTTCTGTCTCCTAAATGAACGCTTCTGCAGTATTTATAAAGTTGATCATTTTACATCTCTAACACAGCTTTCAATTTCCTTGAATCAGAACACCCTGGATAATGTACTCAGTTATACCTGTGTGTGCACGTGTACATGTGCATGTGTGTGTGAATTTTTTTTTTTTAAGTTGTGCTCTTATCATGTTTGGCAGTATAGTTTCTCATCTTACACCATCGTGTTTGGGACTCCCAAAAAGTTGACTCAGCAATCAATCAGTCACTAAGCATAATTCGATGTCTTCAGCAAAGTTAGCACCTGGGATTAACTTACTTACCCCCAGCAACCAATGTCATAGACATTTTATTTAAAAATGCTTATTTTCTGAATATGGTAGAAATTACATGATTGTGAGTCCTCTTAGAGAATATAAACTCTCAGAGAACATCTGTCCATTACATTCCTTCTGTACTTTGTGGTATGTGTGATGTATACAGAAAACCATTTCCCTAATATTACTATAAAGAACTTTGCTGAATTTTATGTAACTGAAGAGATAGTAAGTCAAACATAAAACACACTTCATACCTACTTTACCCACCTGCAAAGTTTCTTGGAGACACAAACTATTTTACATCATGTTAAGCAGTTCTGTGAGTTTCCCAGGAATTTTAAGATATTTACACATAAGTATTTTGTTTCCCCAATATAAGCCCCAATTTGCAAATCTAAGATACTAAACAGAGGGAATCTCCCAAGTGACACAACATGGCTATAAAGGATGTCTCACAAAAGAAACAGAGGAGTAGCAATATGGGCATTCAGACAGTAATTAAAGAGACATTCTAATAACATAGTAGAAAATCAGAATTTGCTGGAGAAAAACATAAATGATGATAGATAAATGGCAAAAAATATTGTATTCCATTGTGTCATAGTAGGCAGTTCAGATTTTTCTTTCCTTGCCTATGATTAAAGCCCGATGTGGACACATCTATATCTTATTCAAGACTATCAAACTAACCAGAAAAAGGAAAGAGACCAGTAAGAGCCAGGGAACCCAATTTTACTCAGTAATCAATGGAGAGTGATGAAGAGATATCAGAGTCCTGACTGCTGGTAGCATTTCCTTTACAAGGCAAATCAAACTGTACAGAGAATTCAGTTTTCTAGCTATAAAATGATGACCATTCTCTCCTTCCAGGTTTTTAACTTTCTGTCCCCTTTGTACTGCCTGCCCACCTTTGCCAATCTAACCCTGCCATTCGTAGATTTGGCTCAAAGGTCTGCTTATGATCACAGGAGAATGTATGTCCTTCCTTTTTGCCCTTAGAAACCTTTCAATCTGCTAATAAAACACTTCTTAGACTGTGCCATGTCTAGCCGGCACAAGACAGTTTCGCCCACCATAATCTAAAGGCCCTAAGGAAGAGTCAGCATCTGAGATATTCTTTAGGCTCAGGTCCCAGTAATGGGTCGGGCATATAGCAGCTGCTGAGTAAACATCCTCCAAACAGGTGTGTCAATGACCAGAAGCCCATTTAAAAGGAGCCAAAGATTAAACAAAAATGGAAAAGAACCATGTATGCATATGCCCCCATCTAATCACCACACTTAAAATGATTCTAAGGAGAGGATATTTTTAAATAGAAAGGAAAATATATTCCCAAACAGAAAAAGATCAACAAACTCATGGAAAGTATCACAAGGATGGTAACTATTATAAGGTATGGTGATGAAATTCAGGTCCTTTGAAACCTGTAGGGTTTTTTCTTTAGTTCTATTTCTTTCATCTTTCCCAAGGCTTGTTTTTCATCATGAGTGGTTCAGGCTGAAGACCAAGACAATGCAGGGACAACTATGTGCAAAGACAGAAACACAAACTACCACCTTCTGCAAAGGTTCAGTTTTGTCCAGTGGAAACGCTGATGGCCTGGAAGCATGTCCAGAGATCATCCTAACCATCCCAAATGACTCAACCCTCTTCCACCTGATAAATACACCTTCAATTACACTTTACAACTTCCATCCTAAAACACAGGCACTATTTATAATTAGTGACAAATTAGGACCAACACAAAAATACACTGAGTGGTGAGGGCTATGTCAATGGTGTCAGGGAGTCACAGCAGCTAAGACAAATGGCTAACACTTAGCACCGCAGAGTGGAAGGAAGATCAGAGGGCTCAGGCTTGGGGCCACACTAGCTTGGGACCTTGGCAAGTTAGGACTCCTACTGGGCCTCTGCCTATTCATCTGCAAAGGAAAGATAATAGCGAGTTCCCCACAGAAGCACTGTATGGAGCAAAAAAATAAAATAAAATAATACAGGTAAAATAAATCTATGCATACAGGAAACACACTAGCCATTTAATAATAGTTAAGAGCAACTGCTATCTGGTCATCTTCACAGGTTATTGCTTTTTAAAATGCTACTTTAGTAGAACATTGTAGAAGATGAGAAAAAGCCCCTTCTGAGCAAGTGGCTGCCACAAAATCACTGTCATTTTGAGCACATGGCATGGGTGACAGTACAAAAACTTGGGGCCTCCCCAGTGGCGTAGTGGTTGAGAGCTGGGTTGCGAAGCTGCCCGCAGCCTCTGCAGCCCTGGTTCGATCCCCGGCTGCTCCCTGGCCACGGGAGGAGGGTCCCACATGGCGCGCAGACCTCTCCTGCCGCCCGCTGCTCCCCTCAGCAGTGTACTTCAGTCCTTCTGCCTGCTCTGCTCCCCGCTCTGGCTCTGGTGAATTCTCTCACCCTCCCGCGCTACTGACTGTACCCAGTGCTTGTATAAATAAATAAACAAACAAACAAACAAATAAATAAATCTTTAAAAAATAAACAAACTTGACCCCAAAATACATTTCTATAGGGCCTGAAACCACTGAAGACTGAATGAAAGGAAGTGCAATTGTAGTTTTTGGTTTGACTACAACTCATCCAGTGGCACAAATCACATCTTTTTTCAGCAAAGGACAACAGAATTAACAGGGAAAGTACTATGCAGCTGACTAGCAATATGTTTCTGGGTCAACTTACTTGCTTGTCTGAGTCTGTATTCTTATCAGTCCAATGAAAATAGTGACTATCACAATCTTTATTGTAGGTAGTGATTTTGATGACAAATAATGTATATGAAAAGCATTTAGTATACAGACATGCCATAGCTCTTTATGTTTTTGTATCCTCCAATTCGTATCTTCATCTGTGAAACCTGCTGAATTCAATTCTGTTTCCTAAGATTGTCCTGATGAGACCTTCTGTCTCATCCACACTGGATCAGGTTTGAAAGAAATAAATACTGAAGGAAACACATCTGGTTCCTGAAAAACCCAACTGAACTTTCCTGATGAGTGAGCTTCCTAGGTCCCCGAGCCAAGAATATTTGTTGTAATAAGTATATAAAAGACTCATAAAAAAATAGAATGGCCACCACAGAGTTTTTCAAAGAAAGTGGAATATGAAACCATCAATGTTAATATTGTGTTAGTTGTAAAAATATTGACCACATTCCTCTAGTTTGGACTTAGCAGACAAAAGGGGAAAAGGCAAAGTATAATGCTCATTTTTCACTTTGAAAACAGATGGCAAGCAGTACCTGAGAACAGTGAATTATATATCCTTCTAGATATTTTTTCAGGATTAGATAAGTCTGCAAAATATCATACTGAGCATATAAGTCATCTAATAAAAATAGGATTTTTTTATTCTCTCTCCTCTTTATTACTGAACATCATAATATGAAAGAGGGGACATAGAGTTCAAAAAGATTTGTTAGAGCCTTTTTTATATTTTTTGACTTTTAAATAGCATACTTGTGCCCTAAATCTTTTGTTAAAATTATCTTTCTGGCCAAAGAATTT